ACGCAAGTATACTGAGAGGATGGTTCTGTTGCTGTTGCAAGAATCATTCTATATCCCAGTATGTTGAGCGGAGGGTTCTGTTGCTGTTATAACAGTCACTCTGTGCGCAAGTATACTGTGCGGATGGTTCTGTTGCTGTTATAACAGTCACTCTGTGCGCAAGTATACTGAGCGGATGGTTCTGTTGCTGTTATAGTAGTCACTCTGTGCGTAAGTATACCGAGCGGATGGTTCTGTTGCTGTTACAACAGTCACTCTGTGCCCAAGTATACTGAGCGGATGGTTCTGTTGCTGTCGCAAGAATCATTATATATCCCAATATGTTGAGCGGATGGTTCTGTTGCTGTTACAACAGTCACTCTGTACGCAAGTATACTGAGAGGATGGTTCTGTTGCTGTTGCAAGAATCATTCTATATCCCAGTATGTTGAGCGGAGGGTTCTGTTGCTGTTATAACAGTCACTCTGTGCGCAAGTATACTGTGCGGATGGTTCTGTTGCTGCTACAACAGTCACTCTGTGCTCAAGTATACTGAGCGGATGGTTTTGCTGCTGTTATAACAGGTACTGTGTGCGCAAGTATACTGTGTCGATGGTTCTGCTGCTGTTATAACAGTCACTCTGTGCGCAAGTATACTGTGCCGATGGTTCTGTTGCTGTTATAACAGTCACTCTGTGCGCAAGTATACTGTGCCGATGGTTCTGTTGCTGTTATAACAGTCACTCTGTGCGCAAGTATACTGTGCCGATGGTTCTGTTGCTGTTATAACAGTCACTCTGTGCGCAAGTATACTGTGCCGATGGTTCTGTTGCTGTTATAACAGTCACTCTGTGCGCAAGTATACTGTGCCGATGGTTCTGTTGCTGTTATAACAGTCACTCTGTGCGCAAGTATACTGTGCCGATGGTTCTGTTGCTGTTATAACAGTCACTCTGTGCGCAAGTATACTGTGCCGATGGTTCTGTTGCTGTTATAACAGTCACTCTGTGCGCAAGTATACTGAGCTGATGGTTCTGTTGCTGTTATAGCAGTCACTATGTGCGCAAGTATACTGTGCGGATGGTTCTGCTGCTGTTATAACAGTCACTCTGTGCGCAAGTATACTGTGCGGATGGTTCTGTTGCTGTTATAGCAGTCACTCTGTGCGCAAGTATACTGAGCTGATGGTTCTACTGGTGTTATAACAGGCACTCTGTGTGTTTCACAATGCTGAGCGGTTGGCTCTGTTGTTGCAGGAGGCTTACCGTCGTTGGGTCTGTGCTTCGCTCTTCCCAAACTTCCTGGCGGACGGCGCAGAGCGCGCGAGACCGTGTCGCAGCGTGTGTCAACAGGTGGAGCAGAGGTGTCCCTTCTTCCTGCCGGGGGACCGTTTTCCTTCCTACCCCACACAATACGCTGGCGAGCCCACCTTTCTGTGCCTCGGTAGGTGGTACACTAACTCTATTTACGTCCAGAGACAAGACCAGCTCCGTCTTGTTTCTACCATGTAGTCCTGTAGGTGGCCCCAGATGGGTGTTTTATGCCAAGACAGACGGGCCGACTGACCGTCTGTCGTAAAATGAGACTCAGACTCATTCAGAGACGAGTTCAGTTTTGTGTTTGACCTTGGAAGAGTAGTCAGTCTTCAGTTTGGCTTCGACTATAGCAGAAACAGTAATTGTGATACTGAAATTGTGAATAATTGTAAGTGTAAAAGTAACCGTCAAATAAACATAGTAGCTAAAACCGAAACCCGCGTGAATTATTGTCGCGTTACATAGGCAATACGCGACACCTGGTGTCAAGAAGTGGTACGGCTCGGATTCTGGAACAAACTACTGGACAAAAGACTGAATTGCGCAAGTACAACACCACACACCCCAAAAATGGATTCACAAAAAATGTTGGAAGTTCTGCTGGCCATGCGAGAAGACATGAGAGCCAGCCGAGAAGAAATGAGAACGGAAAGGAAGACTGACCGAGATGAGTGGAAAGCCTGGCGAGATGAGATGGCCGCCATGTGAGACAAAAGGATGGACACCAGCCACAAGGAGATGGTGGCAGAAATCGAAATCGACGGAGATGAAGAGACGATGTCCTGCCGAGAAACGACGGAGGCACGTCTAGAAGAAGAGCCGACCTCAGTGGACAGGAAACCTGAGGTGGCACAAAGAGAAGAGGCCCCCACAAAAGACGCCGAAATAACGCCGGTCAGAGGATCGATGAAGAGACGGAGGGGCCGAAAGCATCGAAATCCAAAGGAACGGGCCCAGAATCAGGATGGGTGCCGAAAACGACTGGCCTTCGCCCGCATAGGGACGAGCCGCCGTGCGAAAGTGGCACGATATATAAAGCAAAGGAAAGTGTCCTGTCGTGCAGCGGTGGCACGATGAGGGAGAGACATCTTCCGGGAGTGACTGGCCGTCGCCGGAAGAAGGACGGTCCGCCGTGCGAAAGTGGCACGGCGCAAGGAAAAGTCCGTCGGAAGGAACCGCACAAGAGACGCGGTGTTAGGAACCTCGAAAGGATGGACGCTAGCGAAGAGACATCGGGCGCAACAGCAATGTAACAGAGGAACAAGGATCGAGACCTGCAGAAAGACGACCGGACATGAGACTGTGAAGCGAATTACCGAATCTCCTGTCCCATCACAAAACGTCAAGAATTTGACTTTGAGGACGGGTCGACAGCCGTCAAAGCGAAAAAAAAAATGAAACAGTGCATAGAGGAGGAGCCGGCAACGTAAAAGCACCAGCCTCACCACCGAGAGTGAAAGTGTGAGAGAGAAAACGTTGGATGAAACTGGACTGACCAAACCATATCATGGAGCTGTTCGGGACGAGCACCCCTGAAGGAGGGGGTGGATGCAGTAGAATGAACACCGCAAAAGACACGCGAAGAACGGCAAAACCGAATGCAGACGTTGCTAGCAGGAATGCTCGGAAATGAAAGAAAAGAAATGCTGTTAGGCTGTTCGGGACGAACAACCTTAAGAAGGGAGCAATGTGGCGTGCCAGAAACCCGAAATGGTTGAGATCAGAGTTGATTTCCTAGGCAACGACCAACGTTCCCACGACAGCGGCTAGGAAGCAGAACGCTAGCAATTCCAAACAGTGGAGTTTCCACCGTTATACACAAATTATTGAAGCAACGTTTCGATAGCAGCGAGCGGAATGAACCCTTCGAGATGGCATTGTCCCTATCGAGTCCGCGTGGAAGTTATAAGAGTCCAAACTGCGACAAGAGATGAGTTCAGTTCTAAGCTTCTAAGAACGAATGTAAGATGCAAATTTTGTGACGATTATATGATAATACAGTTATTAATATTTTTGGATCCTATCCATCGTCCCGTTTTTTATTTAAAACACAACGTTTCGGAGACTTGAATCGGTATCCATCTTCAGGTGAAAGCCTACTCAGTTGAGTCTAGTCGATGGAGCTAGTACCTATCTCCGGAGATAAGGACGGGCACAACTGAGTAGGCTTTTACCTGAAGTCGGAGATAGAATCCACTCCCCGAAATGTAAAAAAAATGTAAAAGTACCCCTGCAACAGGCCGTGGAGGGCCATAGGGTTGCGAGACGTCAAGGTTTTCACATTTTATACACAGTCGGCTCAGAGCGGTGAGGTTGTCAGCCTTAAGAGCCAGCTGCCCTATGACCCCAGGAAGATTCCTGTTAATCTGTTTTAAATTTAAAAAATGATGATGGATAAGGTCCAGAAAATCGTTGTTTTAAGAAAGCCGGTGGTAATTTTTGTATACCACATTATGGAGTAAGCGCTTTCCAATCTTACTCGTGGAAGTACGTGACAATAACATTATATGGATCTGTTTCAAAATTTTACACTATGGCCTGTTGGGTTGTGGTAAGATTTATATATTAAAGATAGAGGGAGCATGTTCCTACCCATCTACCAGGCTATATGGTTTCATAATCTACATGTTCACAGTATACACTTAGGCCTATCCATCTCCAACAGAATCCTCAGGACTTATACTACACAGAACTGAATAATACTTCCTGCAAGGCCCGTAACACCACAAAGAATGCATCAGATGATGAATGAGTACTTCTTATGCCTTTAGTTATCTTCTGACAGCTAAAATGTTTACGGTGTCACCTCCTCGTGGCTCGTTTAATGTCAGTAATAAGATTGTTCAACTAATATTGCGCGAGCCGCAGGCGATTGGTTTTGAGTGGCCCGCCTTTAGTATCGTACAATTTTTCAAAATATTTCTTAACTCTTTCCTTCTCTTCAAAATGGTCACAATTCAATTCTTACAGTAAGGAAAAGCAAAAGAACCTCCGGTACCCATAGGATATGGGGTTGGGTGGGCTTCAGAACCGGTCTGGAAGACATGGAGAGATAAAAATTTTTGACTATACCGGGACTCGAACTCCGACCCCTCGGCCGTCCAGCCTGTAGTTAGTCACTCTAGAGACTGCATTATCCAATGACCTCATCGGGATTTGAACCTGCGACCTTCCGGCCTGTAGCATAGTGCCCTTAGGTATAATGAATAAAATGTTCATTACTAGAAGCAAAAGGATCTACTAATGAAGCGACTTCGATATACCACTCCAAATCTTACACATGTAAGGTTAGACAAGCAATCTGAGCTCAGGACCATTTGCATTAACAATAAACATGCTGGCCCAGAGATCGTCTACTCTCACTGAGGTCTCTCGTGATATTTCTCAGCCCCTCTAGATAAATGCAGGGATAGGCTCTGAAGACATGGAGTCGATCCCATGCCCATAGTGCGGCTGGAAGGATTAGGTAAATTGAAAAAAGTCCAATGACCTCATCGGGTGCATGAGATGAGCAGGGCTTGTAACACGAATGGGAGAGAAGAGGAATGCACATAGAATATTGGTGGGAAAGCCAGAAGTAAAGAGACCACTAGGANCATATACACGGTGCCAAATCCCAGAAGACTGCTTTCTTCAATGTTAAAATTAGATCTTAGATGGATGGATGGGGTTGTATGGACTGGATCGATCTGGCTCAGGATATGGACAAGTGAACACGGTAATGAACTTCTGGGTTCCATAAAATCCTGGGAAGTTCTTGAGAGGGCTGTAAAATTGGCGGCTTCTCAAGAAGGTAATTTAGTTAGTCAGTTAGTTGTTTAGATAGTCAGATAGTTACTGGGCAAGAATTGCTTGTTTCAACACATGTTTATTATTCATTAATCATCCTAACATTCGATATTATTGCCTGAGCTGCGGATAACGTAGTTAAATGAACGGCAAACATATAACTAAACAACGAAAAAACATGTACTCACCCTGATGAGAAAGTAGGTACACTCCTTTCTTCATAGTCTGGATTATTTACTGCAATATTGAAATACACTTCTTCACATTAATAACAACTATAATTTATTATAGATTCACTCACATTACTCATCTCTGCATTTCTTCCTCACTATTGCCATAGTTAGACAAAACAGAATTTCACTGATTACATCTATTCTCACAAACGCCATGATGGACTTTATACTACGTAATCAAATCAATCAAAATTAATAAATAATTATTTCAGGAGTTATACTGACCGAGTTCTGTGACGTCATTTCCGACAGTAATGTTTATTACGTTTCAATTCCAATCAACTGCTGCCATCTGTGACAAATTTCTGAAGCTGCAATGAATCAGGACGGACAGGCACAGTATATTGCAATCTGCATGGAAAGGGTTTATTTAGTGGGAGGAAACATAACTAGTGTAAAGAAATATCTATACTAGACGCTAATCGGTGTATGGTCTGCGAGCAAGCACAGAAAACAGTATGTTCAGAACTGGCCACCAGAATGCAGAGCAAAATCGCAAGGCAAAGACAGCAACAAGGGCCTTTGAAAATGTGGCAAGCTAAAATGTTTTCGAAGAGCAGTAAGGTAACTTTGTCCCTGTGCTTAACTAGTTAAGCTCTACCCCATGACGACGTATGGGGGAGTGGATGTACAGACCCACGTTTTCTTGACCTCGGCACTAGTTTGAGGTGAGTGGTTAGCTACACACCACTGCTGGGAAAGAGCCCCCAGTACCCATTGGATATGAGGTTGGGTGGGCCACAGAGCATATCTCTACGACATGTAGGAGTGAAAATTCTTGCCCCCACAGGGACTTGAACTCCAACCCTTTGGTCGCCCAGCCCGTAGCTTTATGGGGAACGTGGTAGCGTAGTTTGTTGAGGTACTATGCTACAAGCCGGAAGGCAGTGGGTTCGATTCCCGATTAGGTCATTGGGTTTTTCAATTGACCTATTCCTTCCAGCCGCACTATGGCCCGGATGTCGACCGAGCCTCTAACAGAAATGAGTACTAGGAATGTTCTTGGGGGTAAAGGGCGGCCGGCTCGTAAGGCTCACAGCCTCACCGCCATCTGTGCGCCGATTTTCTAGAAAATGTGGGAGCCTCGACGTCTCACAACCCTATG